TTTATGTATTGTGTGTGTGTGCGTTTAAGTTTGTGTGAGTTTGTATTTGTGGTGTGTCTGTATGTGATCTGTATTTGAGTTTTTTAAAGTGTATGTATGTCCGAATATGTTATATATATATATATATATATTATATATATATATATATATATGTGTGTGTTTGTCTGTTGTTTGTATACATATATATATATATATATATATATATATATATATATATATGTATGTATGTATTCATATATATATATATATGTATATACGTATATATTCATATATATATATAGATGCGTATGTGTGCATTTGGTATTTTGTTTTTGGTGTGTCGGTATGTGATGTGTGTGTTTGTGTGTTTGGCTTTGGTTTTGATTTTTTGGTGTCTGTGTGCGAATGTATATGTTTATCTGTGCGTAAATGTTTTTTTCTACATTTGATGTGGTTGTCAACATACACACAAAAGATATATATATATATATATATATGTGTGTGTACGCTTAATCTTCATATCTGTTCATATGTATGTTGATGTATACGTATGTATGAATATATATGTATATATATATATATATATATATTATATATATATACCTATACATATATATATATATATTTATATATATATAATATGTCTGTCGGCGTCTGTGTTAGTGTCGATGTCTTTATGCCTCTGTGTGTGTGTCTGTATATATATATATATATATATCCATTTGTTTTTTGTTTTTGTATGTGTGCGCTTATCTCGAGCTTTATAGCAAAGCCATCATTGCAGCACGGGTATAAAAGCACGTACCTATCACAACTATTATTCTGTCATGTGCATCCTTTGCGTATGCGTTATTAATCGTAAATCAAAATATACGATACTTATGTTCATATATCACAGCTGATGAAGAAAAAGAAAAGAAAGCAATATTGAACTAGGCTTGTTTTTCTTCTTCTTATTATTATGCTATATATCACTTCACACCTGTGGCAGCCTCGTCTTATACTTCCACGCCAAATAGCTGCACCCGTATTGTTACTGATGGCTCTATACATGTGCTCCTTCCCTAAACCCTAAACCCTCCCCCACTTTTGCCGCATGCTCCACTCGTCATGTAGCTGTGCCTGGTGATCGCAAGTGCTATCGAATGGTGGGCGAAGTACTGACTGAGAGGACGGTCGTTGAGGTACTGCCGGCCGTGGAAACCAATTGCGCCGGTATTAAGAAGGTAAACCAAGCGTACATTCGTATAACATATTCGTATAACATATTCGTATATATTGATATATATATATATATATATATGTGTGTGTATGTGTGTGTGTTGTGTATTGGATGAATGGCTTTCCTGAATTATATATTTCATCTATTGAAAAATTATTATTCCGTTATTTATATATATATTTTTATATATGTGAGTGTGTGTGAGTGTGTGTGTGTTGTGTATTGGATGAATGGCTTTCCTGAATTATATATTTCATTTATTGAAAAATTATTATTCCGTGATATATATATATAAATTTATGTCGGAATTCTACTTATATCTTTTAAGGAGTGTACAGGCTTGCAAGTAGAATATATATATATATATATATATGAGTGTGTGTGTGTATCCTACCTCACACAGATGTGGTTAGACCATCCATATATAAGTGCAATACCACAGCCACATTACTTGCTTGCTCAAATAGGTATATATACACATGCATCCAGTCGAGCCTGCACACCAACGCAACTATCGATGCAATTACACCTATACTTGTATAATATAGTGCCCGCCAACACGTCTACGTTCATATACTCGTATTCCGACTAATCCCTATAAAGCTACACTCGCGTACATACACATCACATCAAATGCCTCTCTTCACATTCTCATGTACATCGTGGAAAGAACTATGCGCATACCTGTACTCGGCAGACATTTTTATTTAAATACACCCACACACATTTCAACACGCTTCATGCAGGCAGACATATGCATTTAAATACACCCACATACATTTCAATACGCTTCATGCAGGCAGCCATATGCATTTAAATACACCCACATACATTTCGAATACGCTTCATGCAGGCAGCCATATGTATTTAAATACACCCACATACATTTCAACACGCTTCATACAAGCAGACTTATGCTTTTAAATACACCCACATACATTTCAACACGCTTCATGCAAGCAGACATATACTTTTAAATACACCCACATACATTTCAGCACGCTTCACGGAGGCAGACATATACTTTTAAATACACCTACATACTTTTCAGTGCACTTATGTAGGATTCAAGGGCGTATCGTCCACACATGCGTATGCCTATGCTGTGTGTCCTGGGTGGCAATCGGCTCATGCGACTACCATTGTATGCTCTGAGTACTATAGCTTAGTACTACACTGTGTAGATAAATATTAACTTTCTTGTATGTGTCGTGCATGTAAGATCATTCTAGGACCATATGTTATTCTCAAACTCAACCCTGTGCATAGTCAAGTATTGGCCTGGTAGCTCACTGGCCTGCCCCACTGGCCTACTAAATCTCGCACTGGTGCAACTATTACAGGTGATGGACACCCTACAACAACAAATAGTGGACAAGGGTAAAGAGATCAACACGTTCAAGACCAAACACAACATACAAACCAAAGAAGAAGCGAGCAGGTTAGAAAAGGCCCAACAGGCCAGTAGGCAATCGAAATAAACATCTTGTGAAGTACATGGGTTGAGAACCGATTCTGCTGTATGCGTGTGGTGTTAGATAACGCACACTTGCACTTCATACTCTTTACATCAGGTTATGTAGACGTTTCAACTGGGCAATCAAGATGGCATTGATAAAGTTTGTATCATGAGTGGTACTTATGAGGTTTAAGATTGTGACGACTATTTTATGTAGTGGTTCCTTCTTTGCTCTCAAGTTGTGACATTGATGAAGTTCGTAGCATAAGTGGTGTTTTGAATAGGGTATGTAGAACTACCTGCTTCGGTTTATAAGAAAAATCATACTACATCTCGCGAAGAACCAAAACTGCACTTTATTAGGAGTGAAAGTAGACGGGGGGGGAAACATTCTAACTATATGTATAAAGTATATATATATATATATATATATATATATACATCTATATACTGTGTGTGTGTGTGTGTGTGTGTGTGTTATATATATATATATATTATATATATATATATATTTAATTTTTATTGATATATTGATATATATCAGTGTAACATCGAGAAAAACCATTGACAGAAAAAAATAGTTAACGAAGGCATTGTGAAATCTTTCTGGTAAGAATATACAGGTGGTGTCTACTGAACTCTCTAGGTATGATAAACAGGAAGTCTGTACGCACACAACAGAAATGAGAATCTATCAGATCAAATAGCTGCAAAAATAAGTTCACGATATTGGTTCGTTGGTTACATGCCAGTGCTCTCTATTTATTTCTAGTATTCCGTCCTCCTATTCTAAGGCCCACATCACCTCTGGGATTGATTCAAATCATCACTGGGATTAGTTTATTCAAATAAAACATGCATAGATGCATAGATACATAGATACATACATATATAGATACATAGATACATGTATGCATACATTAATT